CCCAGAGTAAAGTACGCACCTTTTTATTTCCAACCCATGAACGATTATTCCTTTACTTTATTCTTAATTCTGTGTTTATCCTGGTTTTTGTTGCTTTTGTTTTTTTTAAGGAAAAAAACATTGGAGGAAAAGATCCAAAAGGGTTTACAAGCAAATTAAAACCATAGTAAAACAGAGTTACCAGAGAAAAGTGAAAATGCCATATAGAGCCTTTGCCAACCTGCTCTGCTGGACTCAATTCCCATCACCATGGATATTTTGATCAGGGGCTGATGGAAGTGTAGTCCAATATGTAAGGAAAACAACCAAATAGGGAAAGCACTATAAGAAGACAGTTCTAAATTCAGTGGAAGGCTTGGACGTTGTTTTTTTTTAAACCCTAAGACTAATTGAACTAAGTTCAAGGCACATTCTCCAATTAAGGAGCCACCAACTGAAAAGGCTCTTTCCTTTTCAGCCTGATCTTTAAGCATGCCTGCGGTTGTGTACACACCACCGTAAACGTACATTTGGGTAACACAGATCTGATTTTCCTGTGTGCACTTCCGTGCATATTTGTGTGCAAACTTGCGCTTACTTCTTCATGCAGTGCATCGTTAAACTATGGAACTCGCTCCTGCAGGAGGTGGTGGTAGTCACCACCTGAGATGGCTTTAAGAGATGATTGGACAAATTCATGCAGGAGAGGGCTACAGATGGCTACTAGCCATGATGGCTATGCTCTGCCTCCACGGTCAGAGGCAGCCATGCTTCTGAATACTACTTTCTGGGAAACCACAGGAGAGGAGAGTGCTCTTGTGGTCAGATCCCGCATGCACGTTTCCCATTAGGGTATCTGGCTGCCCAGTATGAGAACAGGATGCTGGCTGGCCTGACCCAGCAGGCTCTTCTCATGTGCTCAGTAAACACACAAGACGTAACTGGCTGCACTTTTGACTAAATAAGGTATACTATTCATTGTATCAAATTGTAGACTTCAACGGAAGTTCCACTGAATCCTTTCACACAGTCTAAGACAAGGATTTCCTAGGATGGCGAAACAAGGCTAATATTCCGGAAATCCTTGTCTTAGACTCTGTGAAAGGATTCTGTGGAACTGTAACAACCCTTCATGTGGATTATTGGACTCTAAGAACAGACAGGTGGAATAGATACTTATACATTGTAATGCGTATGGGGTTGCTCATGCGTAAGCTGCCGCCTCTCCAGGCTAAATTGCCTTGTTAAACCTTTCTGACCGGACAGCCCTTCTCTCCGTGGCTGCCTCAGTCGCTAGCAGAATCTGTCAGTGGGCGTTTCTTAAACCTCTTCAACATAAAAGTTGTTTGACGCCCAGTCTCCTCCTACTCTCACTGCGCGGAAGTCTTTTGCGCAGGGAGGGCATGGGTAGCGGAGGACCTGTGCTCTCTCCGCTGATGTCCAGTGAAGAGTCCTGGAGCCCTCTCGCCGATTCCCCCATCTGCCCCCCTTTATCCCTGGTGTTGCGCTGATTTGCTTCCCCCTCTACTGAGCTGCCTCTCTCCCTGCTGGGCCCTTCTCCAGCATCATCTGAGAGCCTTCTCTTCGCCCCTAGCTCCGATGTCAGTTCCCTGACATCCATGTATGGACCTTATGTGTGAACTGACTAGAGAATGAACTGATCCACTGGGTCTTCTGCCTTTTTCGTTGAACTTTATGAGACTTCCGTTGAAATCTACAATTTGATACAATGAATAGTATACCTTATTTATTCAAAAGTACAGCCGGTTACGTCTTGTGTGTTTGTTGAGTATGTTTCACGTAACCATAGGTTTGTTGTTGTTGTTCTTATGTGCTGATATGAGTACAGTGGTACCTTGGTTTACAACCATAATCCGTTCCGGAGGCCTGTTTGTAAACCAAAACAGGTCGTAACCCAAGGCGCGCTTTCGCCAATGGGGCCTCCAAAAAAAATTTGTTCGTAATCCAAAAAAATGGGTTGTAATCCAAAAAAAAGGTTGCAAACCAGGACACGCACTTCCGGGTTTGACATGTTTGTAATCCAAAATGTATGCAAACCAAGGTACCACTGTACTTTCAGTTGAACTGTATCCCAGTGTTTACATTCCACACCAGTGGCTGGTGCTTGAAAGGATGTATTTGTACTCTGTACCCCTCAATTAGTATACCCCTATCCTCCCTGGTCTAAGTTTTCTAAATAAAACCACATTGACTGAGTTAACTGTTGTGGCACTATTCTTGGGGAAGTGTCCACTTACATGCTTGTTCCCTTGCTGTTTTCACCCCATGTGCAGAAATCGGATGACTGTGTCTGCAAGTCTGGGACCAGTATCCCCCTTTCCCCTCCTTAAAAGGAGGCTTTGGCAAAAGCAATGAGACAGACTTCAACCCAGTATCATGAGGAAAAAACCCCAGAGACGATTCCAAGTTGGATCTCAGTCACTGTGTTCATTTTATGGAACTGATGCCAGTTTGTCTCCATGTCATGATGACATTTCTATCGTTTACCCCTCCCTGTTCAAACTTAGGATTTTGTTCCCTCTTTTTCCCGGAGACATATTTATCTTGGCTTGAAAGACATGCCCTCTTGTTGTAGCTCAACCTGTTGTTTCTATTGACATTTTGGAGAGGCGGGCATTGCCTTGTTTCTACTGCAGCCCACAGAATCTGTCTTCTCAGGTTCTTGATTTGATGAGAAGTCTCATATCTGCAGACCGGACAGCACAGAATACTTCCCCAGAAAGGATATGTGATTTATTTTCAGGGGGGTGAGAAGTTCTGAGTGTGCTTTTCCTGTGTGCAAGGTGTCTGGAAGGAAGTCGATCTGCTGTTCAGCAACGTCTGCAAAGCTCAAGGTTCCCCACACCTGTTTGAGATGTTTATCTGTTTTTCATTTGCAGACAAATACTGCAACCCGACCCTTCTGATCCGAATGGAAGGCAATGGCACCAGCACCCTTCCTGCTGGTGGACAACCAACTCAGTGGTGGGATGCTCCGAGCATTGTGGGATTGGTCATCTTCATCCTCTGCACATTCTTCATAAGGTAGGAATCCATATTCATTTAGAAACCAAACTCATCTAACTTATTAGGTGTCTTGAAGGCCACGTTCTGCCCGGGGGCCTAAGGTTCTTCTGCTCTGCCATAGGCCCCTGGTATGGAGAATAGAGAGTTAGATGGTTCAAAGGACTGATTTTAATATGAGGCATCTTAATACATGAGCAAAATGGTACCTTGGTTCTCAAACTTAATCCGTTCCGGAATTCCGTTCTAAAACTGGAGCGTTCCAAAACCAAGGCAGAACTTTCACATAGAAAGTAATGCAAAATGGATTAATCCATTCCAGACTTTTAAAACCAACCCCTAAAACAGCAATTTAACATGAATTTTACTTTCTAACGAGACCATTGATCCATAAAGTGAAAGCAATAATCAATGTACTGTACTATAAAATAAATAAGACAGATAAAAATTAAAATTAATTTATTTTCTTACCTGCACTGATGATAGTCATTGTTTGGATGGGGGGCTTTTATCCATTTCCGCAGTCACACAATCAATCCATCAGTAGCTGAATTGGGTTCCACACAGTCACAAAAACAAAATTACCAAAAAAGCCTCAAAAACAAAAACGCAAAATAAATAGAAAGCGCCATACTTAATTCGTTCTGGAAGTCCGTTTGACTTCCAAAATGTTCGAAAACCAAGGCGCAGCTTCTGATTGGTGCAGGTGCCCCTGAAATAACAGCCGACAGCCGCATTGGGCATTCAGCTTCTGAAAAACATCTGAAAACTGGAACACTTACTTCCGGGTTTCTGGTGTTTGGGAACCAAGGCATTTGAGAACCAAGGTACCACTGTAGAACATAAGTGGAGAAAAAGAGTAAGAATTTCTGCCAATCACTTTATTTGCTACCCCAGAGTAGACAGCTAGATAGAGGCATCTGTAATGTCTGTGGCAGAGCCATTCCTTGACCAAGAACAGGATTCTAAGCTGCTGTGGTTTAAACATAGACTACTCCACCCCAGGGCTTACAAAGAATTGCAGAAGGAAGACCACTCTATATAGCTGTGAGTGAGGAAAGTACTCTAGAACGAGCCTCTGTGTTTGACAAGCATAGCCTCAACCCACATCCTTATTTCTATGAGTCCCAGGCTTCTGAACCCTCCAGACCTTGCACATCAGCCTGTCTGAGCCTATTCTTCTTTATGTATATTCTGCCTAAAGGATAGCACTCAGAACTGGTTGCTTGCTGATCTCGCGCATGATAGACTCAAGGTACATTGAGCTTATGTTAGCTTCCAGTCTCCCTCTGCTGGCAACGAGTAGTAAATCCCTCCCCCTGTTAACTAAAGAAAAGCTGTGTGCATAGCTGTCTATAAACATAACATTATACAGTCATACCTCGGGTTACAGACGCTCCAGCTTGTGTTTTTTTTGGGTTACAAACCCACCGAAACCCGGAAGTACCGGAATGGGTTACTTCCAGCTTTCAGCAGTTGCACATGCACAGAAGTGGTAAATCGTGCTTTGCGCATGCGCAAAAGCACCGAATCGCAACCCGCACATGCGCAGATGCACCGCTGTGGGTTGTGGCCACTGCGGGTTGCGAATGTGCATCCCGCACAGATCATGTTCACAACCCAAGCGTCCATATATATATAGATATATATATATATATTCAGGCACATAGTGGTGTATGCATATGCACTCAAAGCAGCACCGAAAACGAGGGACGAAGGGGCATGCAACTGATGTTCTTCTCCTTGCTTTGCCAAAGCATCCGCTCCTCGGACCACGTCGAAGTGAACAGGATGATGCTGACGGAGGAGAGCCCAGCTATGATCGAAGGGGGCAATGCTGGCTTTGAAGGCGAGGGGCGCCGGGCTTATGACAACGAAGAGGATGGAGTGACGTACAACTACACTTTTTTCCACATCTGCCTCTTCCTGGCCTCCCTCTACATCATGATGACGCTCACAAACTGGTACAGGTGAGTGCAACTGTCGCTCCCTGCAGGAGGATGGAACAGAATTATTCTCTGTTTGCTCCCAAGGGCAGGAGCAGTGCCTGGTGGGTGGAAATCTACAGGAAAGCAGACTTTGGGGAAACGCTGAAAGAAAATAGCATGGCACATTGTTTAGTGTGGCACTTTGGAACTCCCTGCCTGTTGATATCGGGCTGATGCCTTCACTGTACTCTTTTTAACACCTGCTAAAAGCGCTTTTGTTTAAACAAGCCTACTCAGGTGCTTAGAAAGTTGACGTGAATTTTAATTTGTTTTCGCTTTTAATTTTTTCAACGTCTTAGCATGATAGTTGTCAGTTCTTCTTATTTATAATTTTATTGTGTTATCTTTTAGCTAAACCGCTTCGAGGTTTGTTGTTTTTTCAATCAATCAGTGTATAAATTTGATAAAAAATATAATAAATAATAAAATAGCAGAGGCGTGCATGTCCACCTCTAATCCAGGCCCAATATGGCACTTCAGAACTGTTCTAATTTGGGGGTTGACCAAACCTTGATCTGGGCACCAAATCGATGTTGAACCAACCCCAAGGTTTTATTAGGGTTTTAAACCAGGGCAACCCAGGACAACCCAGAGCTTTTTCCACCTGATCTGGCTGAAACTGATTCATTCCAGTATCTGGGTTTCTCCTGGATTGGTTGCACAGCCCCAGAAAATGAGAAACAGAGAGCAGACTGGCGGGCTCTCCTTTGCTGGAGGTCCTTAAGCAGAGGCTGGATGGCCATCATGTCAGGGATGCCTCAGTTGCAATATCTGCATTGTAGATCTTACATTGAGGAAGAGATGGCCTAGAATGCTTCCAAATGACCCTTCCATGTTAATTCTCTGGTCTGGTTCCTTCCCGGTTGAGATTACTCAGATGCGCTGAAGGTGAGTCTGCATTTTGAAGACCCTTTGGAAATGCAGGATGTGGCTGGCTGGGTTTTGCCAGCGTGTGCACATTTTGCTGGCATAGTTTTTATTTTATTATCTCATTTCACCTATTTATAGCCTACCTTTCTCCCAAGTTGGGATTCAAGGCAAGCTTGCAACATTTTAAAAATATGATTATAAAATGCAAAGGAAGGAAAACAGGCTAGTTTTCAGAATAGTTAAATTGCAAGGAAACACATTAAAATACCAGTTGCCCCCATAGCAGCCTGGGGGTCAACATCATTTCCACCCAGCTGCCAAAGGCCTATCTAATTAAGAAGCAAAATTTCAGCAGGGCATCCCTAAAGTAAAAGAGAGAGAGAGAGAAATGAACACACACACAGGTGGAACAGATAGAATTTCCTGGACTTATGGGGTATATAGAAATTGGTCTGCTCTTCTTCTGAGAGTTCTAGTATTCTACTTTGCCCACTGCTGTTGCCTAGGTAACAAGGATGGAGCATCAGTTCTCCAAGATCAAGCACTTTTTTTTTTTGGTGAGGAGGAAGGAGAGAGTGACCCCCATGAAGTCTAGAGGAGCAGATGGGAAGAGTTGCCTATGCATGTGCTCCAGGGAGAGGCCATTGTGAAACACCCCCCCCCCCCCCGCAGAATCCCTGCTTGGAGTTTTCAAACTCTGCCTTGCTTGACTGTACACCCATACATACCTGGCGCCCCTCCCATCCCCAGCTGTGAGCACCTGACTATTTATAGCCCATGACTCACTGCCATCGCACCAGGCGTGACCTGTACTCCTGCCAGTGTGTTCTGCAGTGCCTTCGCTCTGAACGTTTTGTTGTCTCAGTGAGATTGGCGGCACGGTGGAAGCCGGTCTGTGACAGCAGACGTCTCTCCCGAAACCCCCCTCCTTCCACCCTCTCCAGTGCTCGGTTTCTGAATGAAAACTGACTCGAGAGGGTTTTTTCTAGGATCATTTGCAAGGACAGGCGTAGGAAGCAACTGCAGCCATGAGGCAGCAAGCAAAGCACGAAGACACAGCTTGCCACAAGTGCTTCGTGGAGGAAAGAAGGGGCTCCTGGCTCTCCTCTAATGGATAAAAGGCAGAAGAAAGTAAATAGATAGATAGATAGATAGATAGATAGATAGATAGATAATTTATTATGGTCAGAGACCTGTTTATAAAACAGACTTGGGGGTACAGTCCCAGAACGAAAACAAACAATTAAAACAATGTACAACAATAAATTTAAAATTTATAAATGTGATAAGCGTATAGACATTAAAACTTTAAGATAAGCTACCGCAGAGAGATGACCCCAAGTCACCCATGGAACCAAGTTTGGGGATTTTCTTAACGAACTAGTTTGAGTCGGGGGATGGTCTGCACCTACAGATCTGTACACAGAATCTGGCGACCATCCAGGTTGTCTTATGATCTTTGCCTAACAGGAAAAGGTTGAATTTTTGCTTCTCTGGGAGGTCAGCGAGCCTCACCATCAATGGTCTTACTACATGCCTCTTCACAAAAGGGACATCTAAAGAACAAGTGTTCTGGGCTTCCTATATCCCCCAATGAACAGGCGCAAAGTCTCTGAGCATATGGGACTTTTTAAAGGCTCCTTTCAGGACCAGCGAGGGCAGCAGAAGAAAGTACATCTTCACACACTTAAACTGTGGAACTCCCACAGGAGGCAGTGTTGGCCACCAACTCAGATGGCTTTAAAAGGAGGGCTGGGCAGATTCATGGAGGAGAAAGCTATCAATCGCTATTACGCTTTGTATCCATGTTTAGAGGCAGTCATATTTCTGAATCCTAGTTTCTGGGAACCACAGCTCTCGTCCTGCTTGCAGGTTTCCCATGGGCAGCCACTGTGGGAACAGGATGCCGGACTAGATGGGCCATTGGCCTGATCCAGCAGGCTTGTCTTCTGTATTTACCGGTACATTAATTCTAAAGACCTAAACTAATTGTCATCTTAAGGGCCTACTATGCAATGTTCCCGGAGGCAGAGGAGGCAAAAGTTGCCCGGAAGATAAAGAGCAATTTGGTTTTTATATCCCTTTTTAAATAGGTCAACGGTAGAGTTCGGCGTTAGGAGTTGTCTGATGGATCTGGGCTTTCTGCAAAGCTGCTGTTGTGTTCTTTGCATTTGGGGGACTTGTAAACAGTATTGCATCAGCTCCCTATCTAGATAGCAGCTACAGTCCAGCTGTGCACAGATGCTGCCTTAATTTTTTCTTTTAAAAAAATGTTCAACCATGCACAGGAAGAATACAGGAATGATCTGAGCTATCCACGACCGGCTTTGTTCAGGAGGAGGGGGACAGGATGTACAGCCTGCTGAAGGCCACATCGCTCACTGTCCCAAGTGTGTAGAAGTCAGGGGTTGCCAGTGTTTTGGAGCCCGTGCTCACATTTGCAAACTGGAGAAAGCGTCATGGCCATTGGTGAAGCCTGTGCACACAAACCTTCTTCCTCACCAGCAAAAGTGTTTGCTTTTCTTCAAGTTGGTGTGTGAGAGACCGAGAAACAGAGACCTTTTGGGAACATGCAGCTGGGGAGCTGAGGGCTGTGTCCAAGGAACTGCCGACACGTTGCTCTTCTGAGCGCTTTCAGTTGCAATGTGTGCCTGAACATTTGGAAGCGGAAACTGTGTAGATACCTCTTGGAGAGCCAGCGAGAAAACCCAGGGTTCCAATCCCCCACTGCATGACAATGGGTCACTCATTCTCTTTGACTAGCCTACCTCACAGGGTTGTTGTGAGGACCCAGTTACTGGGAGGGCAGGGAAACCCATGATGTATATCTGCACTTGAGATGGGACATCATTGGCAAGTGATGGCAAGGCTGATGCGGGGTGCAATATTTTTCAATTTTATCTTAATGCAGAGACTTGATTTGTATCTTGTGTTCTTTCCTCAGGCCTGAAGCAAACAACCACGTGCTGACCAGCCCTTGGACTGCGGTCTGGGTGAAGATTTCTTCCAGCTGGGCTGGGCTTCTCCTGTACGTCTGGACTTTGGTAGCCCCCATTGTGCTTCCAGATCGCGACTTCAGCTGAAAGCTGTAGTGCCACACCATTTGTGCTATGCAAAGAAGAAGTGTGTCTTGCTATGATGAAGGGGTTAACAAAGGAGACTCTTCGTTCCTTTACTTGAAATGTGGGCTCTGGTCCGAATGGGCACCGAAACTGTCCACGTAATCCCTTTTTGCTCTTTCAGCATCTAGGCAGATCTGCCACACTTGTGCCTTCGCCTGTTTCTTTTTCTCAAAGAATATGTTAAACAAAGGAAATGGGTCCACTTGTGTGTGATACTTGACACATATGTCATTATGGTTTTCTTTGCTGTGGGAGGGGGAGCAGTACAGATTAGGTTGCTGCTCCTCACGATGACCTCTAAGCATGTTGCAAAAGGCCCTAAAGGTTGGCCGACCAGTTATTTTTCTAAAGAATGCTCAGCATGAGAATAACTTTGAATGTCTCTGTTTAAAGGAACCCTTTTGCCAATTTGCCTTATTGCAAGAATACCTCTTTGTTTTGGATAAATTTGTTTATTTTGATATGCAACTTTGTGTCACTTGGGAGTTTTCAATAAATGAATAGACTTGAGCATAAAATATACCAGTGCTGGAATTCTGCCAACGAGACTTTATGCCACCAATTGCTCCGGAAGGAGTCGGATTTGTTGTTTAGTCATTTAGTTGTGTCCGACTCTTTGTGACCCAGAACACACCAGGCACTCCTGTCTTCCACAGCCTCCCACAGTTTGGTCAGACTCATGTTTGTAGCTTCGAGAACACTGTCCAAACATCTTGTCCTCTGTCGTCCCCTTCTCCTCATGCCCTCAATCTTTCCTAACATCAGGGTCTTTTCCAGGGAGTCTTCTCAAAAAGTAAAGCTGGCATTTCATCGCTGTAGATTGAATTGTTAGGGTTTGGCTGTTGCACACAATAGCTGTGGTTGGGATTGGAGGAGAGGTTCTGTTGAGTATTCCATGTGTGAGACATTTTGCAAAATGGTGGCCATCAGTAGTCCAAACTTGGTAGCAAGAGGTAGAAGGAACATTTGTTTGCTCTTGGCTAGAGGGCTTGCAGTAATAATAATAATAATAATAATAATAATAATAATAATAATAATAATAATAATAAATAATTATATTATATATTATATATTATATATTATATAATTATTATTATTATTATTATTATTATTATTATTTTATTTATATTCCACCATCCCCAGCCAAAGCCCGGCTCAGAGCGGCTAACAACAGTAAAAATAGCACAATTTACATAAAATCACAGTCAAATTAATTGAAATACATTCTAAAATCAGTTCAGAATCAAATTAATGGCAAGGATGGAAGAATCCACATTTCATTTCGGTCATCTTTAAATTGACTCCAAATCACAGCAAAAACAAACAAAAAACAACAACCCTATACAGGATTTTGAGAGACCCATGAGCAGATCTCCTTCCCTCCCTGCATTGTTATTGACTTCTCATTCATCACTTTATACAAAAATGATCTCTGAAAGCATCATCATCATTATTAATGTTGGTGTCATCTATTGTAGCTCAACCACATAAAATACAAAATGGCTAAAAAATAAATCTGTTAACACCAGATAACAAAGAGGAGAAAATTCAATAAACTTCTTTAAAGTGCTTATACAACAATATTAAAAGCTCCCAATAGCTTTTGATAGGCTTATCCTCTACCACAAACTTGTCCAATTCCTCTATTAAAGGCATCCAGGCGTGTGACCTTGTGGCAAAGGCAGCCCATTAATTATGTCTTTGTGTGGCGAAGGACACCAGAAGCTCATAATAACAGGGCTGGAGGAGACCTTGTAGCCTGCTGAGACCATCCCTTACCTTGATTCAGGAAGTCCATGGCTGTCCAGTCTTGCTTGAAGACCAGGAGATTCTCTCGCTCCCGTTAGAGCACATGTGGGCAGCATCTGAGTCTCATTTGGCCTTGGAGACCTTCAGCACAGCCTGTGCAGGTGCCCAAGCCACCAGAGTTTGCAGCATTGCTTCTCAGTTCATGCTCCTACAAGCCAGGACCGGGAACTTCATGCCTGGGGGCTGAATGTGGACATCTGAATCTCTCTTTCTGACCCTTGGAACTCTGCCCAGGCCACACACCTCTCTTATCCCAGGTGTTTTTGCCTGATTGGAATTTGTCCTTGAACACTGATAATAATTTTGCCTGTGGTCCCATTCACCAGTAGCATGTGGGTCTCAGAAAGGGTACCCAGAAAGCAATGCCATCTTCTGGCTGAAAAATGTTCCCCGCCGATTGTTTTGTTGAACTGAGCCAATTACTGACCATTGCTTGAGAAGCTGGCTTTGTTTCTGCAAAGCAGGTTGAAGATTAGGATTTGGCCGTAACACTAAACTGTGGTTAATCTAAAACATAAGTGGAAGCTTCTAATCATGCCAGGACTGTGTCACAACTTGTCACTTCACGCTAAACCGTGGTTTAGTGCTGTGTGCACAAATTTGGCCTGATATCTTTTGCTATAACAACGGGCATTTGATGTATCATGGTTTTAGGGTTGCATTGGGTTTCCCTGATTTCAGACTCCACCTCCTTGTCAGTGCCCATAACCAATGCCCAAAATGGATTTGGATTTTTCAAAGGCCGTATGAATGAATGAATAAATTTATTACGGTCATAGACCAGAAGAAAAGAAAAAACATAAAAGGCAGCAGTAATTTACGAGGGAATGATGGTGTCAATTAAAAGTTGTAAAATTATACATAAAAACAATACACATATACACACACACCCACACACACCACACACACACACACTCACATATGCACTACAGTATATGTATGGGCTTAAAAAAGGGGGGGGCTTATCCAGGGGTCAGATCTTTTACTTTTTTACAGCTAATGCCCTCCGCTTGATCGCGGCCGCAGAAAACTTGGCCACTTTCAGTGTTACTTCTGGGTTTTTATCTCCTAGTAGGATTTTCAGCCGCTGAGATTCAGATCGACCTGGAAATTTCTGAACGATAGGGGAGATAAACAGTAACCTGATATCCCCGTAAAGGTCGCAGTGTAACAACACATGTGAAGCCGTTTCCACCTCCTTCAGACCACATGGGCAAACTCGTTCAGCATAGGGTGTGCCCTCGTATCTGCCCTTTAGTAAGGCAGATGGCAATACATCAAATCTGGTAAGGGTAAACGCCCGCCTATATTTTGCGATTTGTAGGTCCAGCAAATATGGGGTTAGATTAAACCCTTTTCCATAATCTTGGATAGCTGGATATTTATCTATCTTGCTCATATGGTCCTGAAGCTCTACATCTCCTATTCGCTGGCTCACCATCATTTTAGCCTTTTCAAAACCTGAGGCTATGAGTTCTTGTGGGGAAAGCCCCAGGCCCCTCAATTTTTCATAAAGCGACAATCTCCATTTAGACTGGAACGGGTCTAGTAGAGTCAATGGAGCCACTCCCACTGGGAAAAATATGAGTTTTAGCCAGAAGTGAATCTTCAGGATCCATATCCTGGCATTAATAGGGAGTTGACCTACCTCCAGCCTAATGGCAGTGTTAGAGACACAGGTAGGTAACCCTAGTAGGGAACGATAAAATTTAGTTTGTACAGATTCCAGGGACTTGAGTTTTTGACAATTAAATATCTGGGTGCCATACATCAACTGTGGAAGTATTTTTGCAACAAAGACCTGGGAGGCAGCAGGAACATATTGACCTCCTTTTCTGTAAAAGAATCTTATGATAGCTCTGGAAGATCTTTGCGCATTTACAATGGAATTCTTAATCTGATGGCACCAAGATCCCTTCTCATCAAAAATTATTCCAAGATATCTAAAAGATGTTACTTGCTCAATAGGTTGGTTATTAATTTTCCATTTATGTCGGAGTTTTCTCTTGGAGAACACCATAATTTTTGATTTAGTGTAATTTATTATTAGGTGTTCAGCTTCGCAATACTCTGTAAGAGCTCGTAAGAGTTTTCTTAGACCCACACAAGAGAAGGAAATAAGTGCCGCATCATCTGCGTACAAAAGGACCGGGATTGGTGTATTATTTAGGTTTGGGGAATGAGTACTTGCTTCCTCCATCTTTCCGACTAAGGAGTTTATATAGAAGTTAAAAAGAATAGGGGCAAGAACACAGCCTTGCTTGACACCATGGAAACTTTGGATTTCCTTTGATAGGTTCCCATGACGGTCGCATCTAACACGGATCCGAGTATTTTCATGTAGTCTACGGATAAGAAGCAAAAGACGTCTATCGATGTTTGTGACATTTAGTTTTTCCCAAAGTCTGTGCCGGGGTATCGAGTCGAAGGCTGATTTGAAATCTATAAAGGCTACATAGAGAGAGCCTCCTTTCTTTGAGGTGTATTTCTCCACTAGATGTTGCAATACCAATCCTTGGTCTAGAGTTGATCTATGTGCCCTGAAACCAGCCTGGGCTTCCTTTAGGATGTGCTCCTGTTCCAGCCAGTCCGCAAACTTTTCACGTAAGTGAGTTGCATAAAGTTTGCTGATGATGCTTAAGAGACTGATTGGTCTGTAATTGGCTGGATCAAGTTTACAGCCTTTCTTGAATATGGGAACGATGATTGCCAATCCCCAGTCCTCTGGTATTATTGCTGTTTGATCTATGCTGGTGAAAAGGGTGGCAAGGACTGGGGCCCACCAGTCAATATTGGCTTTGAGAAGTTCAGGAGAGATGTTATCTGCTCCCGGGGCTTTTCTGTGTTTGAGTGCCTGAATAAGCCTCCTAATCTCCGCGACCGACACCGGAGGCCACTCATCACCTGCCGCACACTGTATTAGTGGCTGTGTCAAAGGCAGAGCTGAATATGAAGATTGGAAAAATGCCTCCCAAGTCCCTGCAGGTATAGTATACTCCACTTCTGAGGAAGTAGATCGCACTCCATTTGCTACCAGTCTCCAGAAGGTGGCCGAATCTCTCTCTCTGGATGCATCTATTAGGCATTTCCATTCTCTTTTCTGTGCCAGGAGTTTTTTGTTTTTGATCAAAATTTTATAATTTCGTTTATCTTCAAACCAGCCCGTGGGGAGTTGGGGTAAATTGGCAGATCTATAATTCTTGTATTTTTTCAGTAAATTTAGCTTCATATCCTGACATTCTTGATCAAACCAGGGTTTGGAGTTTTTATATACTGAGGATTGCCTACTTGGCCTGTTCCTTTTTTCCTTCAGGGAATCTTGAAGGAGTAAAATTAACTCCTGAAATAAATTTATCTTTAATTCATGGCTTGAGGAAGTTATAAGGTTTTCTCTCTTAGTGAGGAATTCCTTTGAGCATAGCCTACTTGAAATTTCCTTATGCAGTTCATCTGTCCATCTGATGCGCGAATATCTGAGCTCCAAAGCTGTAGGGCTCGAATGCTCGATTTTTTCAGCGCAGGATAAATCCTTTCCCGCAGCTACGAGTGCACTTAATGGCAGATGGTCACTGTCTAAGCGCTCCTCCACTTTGCATTCCAGAACTTTGTTTTGAAGATCATACGACACGATTATATAATCAATTGTGGAGGCGCCATTGTTAGATATAAATGTGAATTCTCCGACCTTCTCCCCCTCTGTACGGCCATTTA